GTACAAAAGGCAACCAATGGCTAACTATTATTACAGCGCCATGCAGCATTGGATCCGCAGGTTTTCAGAAGCTCGTGTAAAAGCAGATCCTGGTATCAAGGCACCTACTCCCAGAACATTTTACAGTTCATCTTCACTTGTCCTCAAGCAGTGTGAAGATTACTTTGAGAAACTCTGGGAAGAATACTCTACAGAAGAGAAAGAAGTATACCAGGGATCAAAGCTTGGCGATACATGTTTGTCTACCGTTGTTGAATGGGGTCATTCAATGAGTGGAGAGGAATATTCAAATTCCACATTGAGCACGAAGGAGTTCGTCTGTAAATTTTCAGAGAACTTTGCTTTGATTGACGCGGAGGTCATGTGCTCTAAACCCTCTGACGAAGACAGTCATGGTCCAATGTTTCTTTCACTCAGACCAGCTTCCTTTTCATCTGGAGACAGAAAATTTTTTCGCTCGGGCGAGACTCTTCGAGATGCTAACTTGCGGAGGAAGGAGAGACAGAAAGAGAATAAAAGGAAAGGAAGGCCGCCAACTTCTGATCAAGCAGCTCCATCGACTGCAGCAGCATAAAACTCAGAGCGGAGGCTAACTTTTAATGATAGCTAGGAAGTGAAGATACTTCTGATCACAGTTGATACTTTGCTTCCAAGCTTGACTTTAAGTTGCCAGGCTGAAGTTTTAATGAAGTCTGGTTTGCAACCAAGGAGAAACTTTTTGTCAAAGAAGATACTCCTGCATTCCAGGTTTATATGCTTTAGCATGCAGATAGATACAGTTTACCAAACGGTTATTATCTGCAGGTAGGTATGGACAGTTTTCCAGAACTGATGATAACTACCACAGCCGCTCTTTTGAAGTGACCTCTAATGGACAACCATTCATGGTTGATGATTAAGTCATTTCATAAGTTTGCATTTGTAGTGCAAGTTTTGTACATACATTTGCCAGTGTCTCCTTCCTTTTTGTTTTTGATGTCAACGAGAGAGAGTCCTTTTGATGCAGTTTAATTTTGTGTAAGTCCTGTGTATGGAAGCGGCCGAGACCACTTTTCGAGAAGACTATTCCTCGGACCGAGAGTTGACGCTCCTTGCATTTTGCAAGGCATCTTAATTCATTGCAATTTGTGCGGTCTTGAATTTTTAGTTCTTCGTTACGCGAGTGTCGTTTACTGCTTTTACAGGTCTCTGTGCAAGAAAGCCGCTTTCCTTTGAATTTAAGTTTCTTTGAAGCTCTGGTTATTTAAGGGCTATTGAGCGCCGGTACTGGTATCTTCGCCGGTGAACGATGCAGTCTCCAGCCGAGATACATTGTCTTTGACTTTGTATTTGAGGTGAGTCAGCTATTGCTCCCTCACTGTATTTAGTATACCTAGAGATTACCTTTTCTAAAGTGTGAAACACACTGGAATTGGTAAGTACAGGGCACCGTAGTTTCCTTTTTAAGCTTACTAGAGCTTGCTGGACTGTTTTAGCCTTACGGTAGAAAAATAGTGTGCGACATACGCAATAGGCAGGAGTGGACATGAATTTTGTGCCTGCTGAAATGTAGAGCCTACTTGTACAGGTTCCACTCCAGTGGCCTATCTAGTGTGTCCATGCTTGACTGCCATAAGGCTCAAGAGACAAGAGGATAAGACTCTGCGCATAAAAGACACTAGCGGTCTGCACCTCAACCGTGTACGCCCTAGTCACTCTTTCACCCACCCCCTCTCCCCACCTTCCCTCCCTCCCTCCCTCCTCCCTCTTCGCAAGTTCGACTCCGTCCTGTCGTCGCTCTTTGGCATGCGGTTAGCGTTGGGTATCTTGCGGCCGCACTCGCTCACTCTCACTGTCTCACTGTCTCACTGTCTCACTGTCTCACTGTCTCACTGTCTCTCTCTCTCTCTCTCATCTCTCTCATCTCTCTCATCTCTTTCTCATCTCTCTCATCTCTCTCTCCTCTCTCTCTCTCTCTCCTCTATGTCTCTCGTCTTTCCGTCTCTCTTCTCTTTCTTCTCTCGCAGGAGGATCCGGGCAAAGAGCCACATATAAAGGACTCTTCACCCCTGCCTCCAAAAAGAGCGCCGTGTTTTTTCCTACCTCGCTGCCCTCCACTTTCCCATTCTGGAGCGCTAGCTTTCGCACCCCCCCTTGGCCTCAAGTTAGACCCACCTCCTGCTCAGATTGTAGCAGACGAAGAGACACTGCCCGCCAATGCGGGTGAAAAACGGAAAAGGTCCAGTCGTGCGGCCGCCAAGCCAGAACCAAAGACAAAGGCCAAAGCCAAAGCTGCCAAATCAAAAGCGAAAACTAGCAGCAGGCGCAGTAACAAAAACTCATCCGACTGTTCGTCCCGTAGTTCAAGTCATCGTCGTGTGTGGACAGCGTCAATGAAAAACCTGCGGAAACCACGGACAGCGTGTTCAAAATAGTTAGACTGGCCCAAAGGCACTTTGGCTGGGAAAGAATGTGGGGAAACAAACTGTGAGGAAAGGTTTGTTTGATCTGTCAACGCGCAAGCCTTTGCGAGGCCCTTTGCGAATGGATTCCATGTTCATCATCATCATCATCATCGTCATCATCGTCGTCGTCGGCGTCGCAGCATATAAACCTGATTGTCATTGCCGTGTTCATCAACCATATCCATCCATATCCTGCTCTTCTCCTCCTCCTCCTCCTCATCATCATCATCATGTAATGAGACGAGGCTCAGTGAATGGCCTCGACATGGAGGACAGAACCGCCAAGGTGATCGCATGATGAAAGTGTTGACGCCTGGGTGAGCCCACGTTTGTTTGGTTTCCATGTGTAACATTACTTCACTCACAATGTCTCTGCCAATTTAGAGGTGGGTTGTTTCTTTAAAAGTGTTTTCTCACCTAAAAAACGTCCGCTATGCATTTCTTACTTCTACTCTGCCTTCGGGCCACACTGTCAAGCAACGTCTTCTGAATAACATAGATTTTTTGGAGTGATGCAACCCAGAACTACAAACTTGTGCGCTTTTGGTGTAACACTTGTCGCACTGACAGTTTGACTTTGTTTGTGTTGTATGAAGGACTAGAAGGCGAGACGATCGGGGTTGCAATCAAACATGATGAAACATGGATGTGGAATTGCCCATGTTCCTTGTGTGTTCCTTCGTTTGGCATCGCCTCGTTTACATGACGACCTGCATGCAGCCAAGGCAACATACAAAGTTGGCACAGGTTGTTGAAACAAATATTTTTTTGGTTGTATCCAACATGCGGTCTTGAGGATGGATGGTTCAATCCGTTCGTGCCATTCGGAACAGGCATTTACCATCTAATTCCATGTTTTCGGACAACATTGTTTTTGTTCTGACTCGTTGCATTTTTGTTCTTGCAGCCTGCCTTGTTGGATAACAAAATGAACAGCACACAAAACAAGGAAAACCAACCATTGTGTCACGCCATTTTCGACTTTGCAAGAGACTTGGGTGTACCTTAAGCGGGACCTTGCAGCATCACTCCTTGTGGTAGCCAGGAATATAGACATGCAGTCGGTTCCCAGGGTGGATCTGTGTGTGATGGTTCTCAAAGTTGTTGATGTTTCCTTCCATCCATCAGGACTGTTTACTTTCTTTTGAAGCGATGGAGGGATGTCCGTGGTGACGAAACTGCATTTGGTGACGCAGGAGCTACATTGTGGGAAGGAACTGGAAAAGGTGGACTAAACACGAAGGATGGGCTGTCCGGGCAGTGGAATGGTGGACCACCTTTTTTGTTGGCACATGTTCTTGATAAATCCATATCTTTTGTGAAACCGAAAACAGCCCTTCCCCCGCAGTTTGCCAGGGTTTTTTGTTCACCACAGGTTCAACGCAGCTGTCGAATTTGGGAATGGACTGGCTTCACATTTGTCGCGATGAGTGTTTTTTTTGGAAAGTATTGGTTCTTGTGTTGGCCCACAATCGCTCTGTAAAGGTTTGAAAGAAACAACATATTACCTTTCTCAGGTCGGTTAGCATGGAGAGTGAACCGAGGTCGAACCGCCAGTCCTTCCACGCAAACCTCCAAAAACTCTGGTCTTGCTTCACGCTTGTTGCAAAGACCTTTGAGTTCCACACAAGATCAACCTAGGCCAAACATCATGTGGCACTTTTCCAAAGTCATTTGACCCCAGTAGGCTTGACTGCTGCGACCGAGCCGGTCGGTTCTTCCGGGCTCTTGGGCGGGGCCTACGAGACGGCGACGAGACGCGAGGTCTCGTCCTCTCGGCGCGACTGGGTGGGGGGGTTTTCGGACGCTGGCAAGCGCACCAGCCCAGTAGAGTGGATTGAGAATAGAGCACTAGTTTCCTCACACGGGTTGCGGTTTACACAGATTCCCCATCTGTCTAAGACGTCTAAGACGTCTTGCCAGTGCGGAGTCGAAGCTCTGAAAACTGTATCTCCTCAACAGGAAGTTTATTTGGTTCCTGGTGGGGCGTGGGACACCCCCCCACTCGCCGGGTCACGGCCCCCCTTTCTCTGATCGGTCCGACGGGGACAGGGCAGGACACCTTTTCAGGGTTGAACATTTGGGTTTGGGAAGGGCCCCCCCCACCCTGGTTGGGGTGGCCGCCTGAGGCTGGGGTAGACAGGGGAGAATGTGCAGGATTCGTGACCCAAGTCCTCCGTTTTGCCCCAGCCTCGGAAGTCCAGAGCTGCAACTTTCCATGCTCAAGCCTTAGCGGCTGTGCTTTGGAAGGGCGACACTCACACCACTGCTTCTGTCTAAAGACATGTGCTGAGTGTATGGTCTTCCATCAGACCCTCGTGACGGAACCACGGAAGTGGTGAATTCAGCTGGAAGATCTTCATGCTTATTTTGGATTGGTGTCATTTTCCTTTTCGGAGGCCAACATAGCACTCTTCCAGCGCTCCTTCCACTCGCGTGGGCGAGTCGGACCCCCGTAACAGGGAAGGTGGGCGGGTCTTCCTGCACGATTTTGTTGGGATTTTCAACGCCTTAACTGGCCATACAAGAAGGACTCGCTGGGCGCATCCAGGCTATCTAGGCTGTGTATGGCTGTGTGGCTTATGTCTCCCCGTGCGCCGACGTACGCTGCATCGACCTCCACCGCGTGCCATGCCCGCAGCGCACGCCGCCGGCGCCTTTGCTCGGGCAGCGCTGCGGCCGCTCGGTGCCGCGCTGCAGGCACGGTGGGAGCAGAGCACAGTGAAGATGCCAGACCCATTGATTTGGTGACAGCGGGGATGGTTCTGCAGATGAAGTGTCGGGTTTTGCCAGGTTTCCCCATGCAGAGAAGGAAGAGTTGTAGCCCGTGTGTGTTTTTCGAGGTCATCTAGTGTTCTGAGGCCAAAGTGATCTTTGCACCACACGAGAACCTCCAGAATCAATACCTTCCCCAGTGCTAGCTATACTCCGTGTGAGGGAATGAGGGTGGCTGGATCCAGTTGGGCATCTTTATTCGGGAGCTCATTCCCTTATTCCCTGCTAAGCACTAAGCACCAGTCAGTTAAGGACCTCATTTGACTGGGTCCGGTGATGCAAAACACGTACTCAAAGAGGTAAAGGACCAGGTTTAACTTGGTCCTTGGACTTGTAGGGTAAGCGCCAGTCAGTTTGGGGGAGCTTTGCACCTCTCCAGGTTCTCTCCATGGCTCTGCAGGTCCTCGCCGTGGCCGTTCCAGGCTATCTGCAGTCCCGGCGATTAGCGGCACGCTCGGCCTGCCGGTGTGAAGAGTCAGGCGCCATACCGGAAGAGTGTGTGTGTGCGTGTTTTTTTGATATTTTTCGGGATCTTGTGGTGCATTAGGAAGAGACCATCTGTGGAGAGGTAGGCGAGAGTATGTTGGTTTGTTTCCTTTGCAAAGTCGAGCTCGGTGCGAAAACCATTTGGTGAACCTTTCTGGGTTTTTGGAGAGACCGGCAACTTGTTCTCCAGTCGAGAATGGAATGCTGTGAGGAAGCACAGCTCCACCAATGTTGGGAGTGCTCGTTGGATGATTTACTTGACGCTGTTAGGTAGTCTAGGAGTCGGGTCTATTGGTGGTATCTTGGATGCTTTCCTAGGCTTTGGAACTTTGGAGGGTGGAGATCACAACATTTGCCGCCTTTCACCTTTTTCATCCTTCTTGCTTCCAACCTGTCGAACATTGGAACTACCTTTAGTGAGATCCAGGTTTGCAAGCCCTCCACAGGACGACTCAGGCATCGCAACTCCCAAGATCAAACCAAACTCGACCAACCCAAGTTTCCAAGGCGAATGAGCAGCCTTGCAAACCAAACCCCAACCAAACTCCATGGACCCCAACCTGGAAGATTTGAAGAGTCAACTCCAGACTTGCCTTCTGGCCGTGCCAGAGAACTTCTGGGTCTCGCAGCGCCGCTCACCCCCCGTCCGCCGGCGCTGGCCTTTCGCGCGCGCCAGGCGCTCGGCGCGTGCTGATCGACACGGACCCAGGTGAAGAGGGGCGGAAGGGACCGGTCCTGTCTGCCTGAACGGGTGGTGGTCCTCTTCATGCCTTGGATCGTGATGGTCGCCCTTGGGCGAGTCCGTAGCGTTGAGGGACTTCCTTTTGTTTGCGGGCACCGGGCCCGGAGGTGGTGTTGTTGTTGTTGTTGTTCTTCTTCTTCTTCTCCGCGTCCCCTCTCAGTGAGGCGTGGATGACGCGCTGGCGATTCTGCTGGCCCTGGGCTCGCAGCGCGTGAGCCTTCACGGGCTCACCATTGCGCTGGGCAACGGCAAGGACATCGGTCGACCGTCACCTGAGACGCGACACTCAAGAAAAGCCAAGCAGACTTCAACATGAGTGTATCTGACTCTTGCTGTAGGTGAGACAGGGCTCTATAGCAAACATGTTTTTTTTTTTTGAGGACATATGTTTCGAGTACCACGTAGTGAAAGGGCCACAAGGGCCCGAGACTCGTTGGATCGCAAGACTATAGCTGTGCTGAGAGGAACAAGTCATGTAAAAACCCAAAAGCACGAAACTCAAAACCTTAAACCAAGACGAACATCCATGCCAAGGTTTCCTTTCTTTTCTGCCATGAGCATGAAGCTCTGTGCGATGCTTTCACACTGGAGTCCTTACATTTCAAGCATTTTATTGTGATTTTAGTCCACAAGGATACTACACAATCAACTAGACTGAAGGCAGCTGAAGGCATCCTCCGACTATACCGCGATATCATTTAGGTTCTGTAGTCAGTTCAACCAAAGGAAGAAGGTATACTGGTCCCCAGTGAGATGGGACTAGTGCAACGTACCCACAGGTTTTGATTTTCCTATCTCATGTGTGCTAAGTGACCTCAGCCACTGGGATTACACCCTCCCCCACCCACTCCCCGCTGCCAAAAGCTCAACCCCTCTCCCCCCCAGCAGGACATCCGGGACTTGGGTTCCTTGGCGGATCCCGAGCCGGATGGGCGCGGCCTTTTCGATTCCAAGCAGCGGCAGTCCGCGCGGGGGAGACGGTGGAAGATCCATGTGCCTTTTTCAAGTCATAGAACCTCTGCAAACTTCGGTAGTCCTTGGCCAAACCTATCTTTAGCCCTTCGACCTTTGGATGTTCGATGACGTGACGGGCGACGAGACGCGCTCTGAGACGCGCGGCGACGGAGGTTCCAATGCCAAGCTGCTCCTGCGGCTGAGCAACGCAGCTCCAGTGCCTGTGAGTTTGGGAGATGACAGCTTGGCCACATCCTGTGAAGGCGGTGCTTCCCCAAACAATGTGGTAACAATAGGGGTTCTTCAGGTAGTTGTTATAAGGCCGGGTTCTGCTCTTGTGTGGTTCGAAGTGTGAGTCTTCCGATCGTTTGATGTGGGTTTTGTTGGGTCCACTTACGGTCACCGGAAACTCTCAGTGATTGTTTTGTGGCTTGCTTGATGTTTTGAGTTAGTTGCTATCTGGGGTCTATGCCGGTGCAATTTGGCAGAGCATATCATCCGCATGCGCATGTTTTATAGTCAGCACTCCCGCACCAGATGAAGCCCCCTCAGCGGAGGCAGTACGCTCCGGGGTTTCCAGGTGCGACGGTGAGTCGCAAAGGCATGGAGAAGCAGCTGGTGCATGGTGAGGACAACCTGGGCAATGTGGGTTCCTTGCTGTGAAGGTGATTGTGGACTTGGGACTCACTGTGACTCTGTAGAAGGAAGAGGGGTGCCTGGCATTGGGAAGAGATGGTTCAGCCAAACACCAAGTTCGCGGACTCACAGAGAGTGTTGGGTTTGTTTTGAACTGCTGTTTTTTTACAATGCGGGCCACTGGTCCCACCAAATCGCACCTGATCTTGTGAGCCCCCCCCCGACAGAGTCGATTGCCCGGATGAGGTGCGAAGTACGGCAAGTGCGATGAGGACTATCGAGATTTCCATCCTCTGAAAGCCCCCGAGTTCATCTACGACGTCTGCCGCCGTGACTTGGGTGGTGAGTTTGCCCGTGGATGGGGCGGGCGGGGGCGCTTTTCTCCGCTCCGCTCCGCTCCGGCGGCTGCTCCGAGGCTTTCCGGGCGAAGTCAGCGTGGTGTGCATCGGCCCTTTGAACAACTTGGCCGAGGCGCTGCAGCAGCACCCGGACTTGCCGGAGCTCGTGCGCGACTTGGTGAGGCGAGGCTCGGCGCACCTCGGCGTTTGGGCTGTTTGTGGAGGCGAATCCCGGCGAACCGGGTGGTGACCTGGTGACGTGAGGGGTGCAGAGGCTTTCACTTCGGAAAAAGACTCGGTTTTTTGGGTTCAGGTGCGCTGGGGGTTTCAGACAGCTGGCTCGACGCAAGTGGGAGGTGCAATTTTGAGGTGAGGCTGACTGCGATGCGTCTGACTGCGATGTATCTTGGAGGATTGTACAATTTGTGCCTGCAGGTTTGTAATAGTGATGATCGTTGGCTGCCTATATTGCTGTTGACCAAGTCAGGTTTGACAGCCAGTCGCTGGGGGTGTCATTGCGGCTCTGTGTTTAGAGTTTAGAGGCTTCTTGGTAGTTTGACAGTTGTTTTCTGTGGCTAGACGCGTTGGGTTCTAGTGTTTTTTCAGGTGACACCTGGGAGATGGTGGCTTGTGCCTACAAGCTTTGAACTGCACTTGTTTCATCCTTTGACCTTGACCTACAGAATTTTGCACTTGAAGGCTTTAAAACACATCCTCACATGCGGGCTTCTTGACACTTCTGGGCATGGCTTTCTGGCATTGTGACCGGAACAAGCCCAAAAATGTTCGACCGTCTCCTGCAATCTGGTACTAACCTGTTAGCGCCCGCTGTTTCAACCCTTTCTGCCCTGAACCTGAACCCAAAGAACACCCCAACAAGGATCCCACCCAAAGCGCGGGGCTGCCCCATTTCACCCCAACTCAGTGGGCCCGGCTGGAGCCTCCCGCGCCGGCGCCCCAGGTGAGGTACTCATCATGGGCGGCGCCTTCGGGCTGCGCCGCGGCAACCGCACCCCGGCGGCCGAGGCCAACTTCTACCACGCGCCCGAGGCGGCGCAGGCGGCGGGGGGTATAGGGTCGGCCGTGGAGGTTTGGGGGGGGGGTTGGACTGGTGGAGCATGAAGAGGGGGCCGGGTGGGGAAGGCTCACAGAGGGGGGCGAAAAAGTATGGAGAAGGTTGCATAAATGAGCTCATGAGGGATGCAGTTTTGAAAAATTGACTTTCGACGGATCTTCCAGTCGAGTCCCTGGAAGCCCAGGACTCGACGATCTGTTGCAGAAAACCGAAGTGAGGGACATTCCAAACTTGGGGATCACTTAGTCAGATCGACCATTTCTTAAACACCTCTTCCACGGGACCCACAGCTTCATCCTCCTGGGCTCCGGAGGACCTTCTCGTTTCGCCCCCGCGGCCGTTCGTCAGCGCCTCTCGAGGCGGTGCTGACGGCCAAGTTCAAGCGCGTGGTGGTGGCAGGCCTGATGGGATCCGGACCCGTGTGAGCGATTCGACGTGAAGGTGAGGGGCCATGCAGGTCGACCTGGGGGCAGAGGACAGTTCTGGGGAAGTGCAGGTGGTGACCTGTGAAGGAGACGTAGTTTGCAGGTCTTTGACCTGCATTCTGTCATAGGACAGCGGCTCTTCAGCCAGCTGTGCCTGCCCACCGCCATGGATTCCCCTCCTCTTCCCCCGTTGGCCGCGCCTCGTGGCCATCGTTGCCGCAGGCCTCGACGTGACGCACCAAACGGAAATGCGGGAGCTGCGCGCCGCCTGCGTGGCTGCATCGCCCGGTTCGGTGATTTCGCAGTTCATCTGGGACGTGTGCGAGACCTACATGAACGTCTACCATGCCGCTCAGTAGGCAAAGGATGTTTGGGCTGGCGGAAAAAGCAGGCGCGGTTCCTATTTTTCTTTTTCCAAGATCAGCCAATTTAAAAAGACACACACTTATTCAGTCAGTGGCTCTGTTTGGGTCAAGGCCCTGCTTGAAGTATAACTTGCAAAAGCTCCTGGTTTATTTGGAGTGGTTTACCACTATACAAGGGTTAAACCTGGTCCTTGACCTCATTGAGGACTGGTTTGGCATTTTCCCGGACCCAGTCAAATGAGTAGGGTACCTTTCAAAAAACGCCTGGACGGCCCCTTCGACCTACGTGTGGTTCCATGGATGACCTCGACTTGGCCTCGGCTCGTCCTTCGGTTCGGTGCTCAACAAGGACTGGGGTGAGACTGTGGCGCCGGCGCATGACGTGGTGCCCATCATGCAGCGTGGCAAGAGGGAAGGGGTCTCGAGGTCCGAGACCCGCACCCTCCAACAGGCGGTTTGGAGACCCTAACAATCGGCGGACGACGCTGTGTCTGTGGAGTGGATCCATAGATTTCTACACAACCAAGTCATGGACTGCAGCTGAAAAAGACCCTCTCTAGCAACGTTGAATGTCATTTGTCGTAGCTCCACCCTCCGCCCCGAGGGTCGCCTTGACAGAAGCTCACCTCCACCACATGGCGTTGAGTCGATCTTCTCTTGAACATCCAGCAGAGGTTGAAGAACCCTATAGAATCCTATAGACTATCCTAGTTGGGTACTCCTGTAGGGTCCTAGTTCAGGTCACTTAACCTCTGTAGGATCTCTTCAGCTTCGGTCCGCGCCCGTGCCGCGCGCCCGTGCCGCGCGCCCGTGCCGCCCGCGGCCGCTACAGCCCGGGCTGCTGAGGTACTTGCTCCGACCAGAGCTCTTCGAGGCCGAGGAGGTGCGCGTGGAAGTGGAGACGGCGCCCGCGGCGCTCACGCGGGGCATGTCCATTGCGGATTGGAAGGGGCAGTGGGGCAAGGAGCCCAACTGCCTGGTGGTGACGCAGTGCCTTGGAAGGAAGAGTGGGAAGAGTGGGAAGAGGTGGAGACAGTGAGTGCAGATTGGTGGAAGTGCTTCGACTTTGGTATCCTCATGATAATTGATTTCCTTTCTGTCTGTCGTAACGACACCTGCAACAGTTGGTAAACAAGAACATCACCAATTGAGAGATTTTTCAAGGCCTGCAAGTTGAAACATCATCATCTACTGGGCCCTGGATAGATCGGATATACCCCTGTTGGTGGGAGAACACCTCGAAGGCGCACCGCGGCCGAGGATCCGCGACGTGGCCGCCTTCACGGCGGCCTTCGTGGCGGCCATGGCGCGGCTGCCGCTCGGAGTTGGAGGCCTGGGGGCGGTGGAGGGGTGGAGGGTGTGCGGGAGTTGGTACTTGTTCCTGCCGTGCGTTCAATAGGTATGTACTGTGGCAGTGGAGACACCTTGCTGACGGCCTTGCTGACGGCCTTGCCGGCCTAACTGACCCTCGGTGTCCTGAAAGAGGGATTCTGGTGCAGAGCCCTTGCTGCGGGCGCGCTGCAAGAACCACAGGTGCAAGTCATCCCGTGTCAACCCCTGCCAGGACCCTCCAATAACCCTCAACTAAAGACCTGTTGGAGGGTGCTGCAATGGATCTTAGAGTCAAGAATCAAGCCCTGTCCCAGTTCCCTGTCCCAAGTTCCCTGTCCCCAGTTTGCTGCCCCCAGTTCCCTGCCCCCCCCCAGTTCCCTGTCCCAAAGTTCCCTGTCCCCATCTCGATACCCCGTAGACCGACAGCATGCTTGCTTCTCCACTCTCCATCCCATCACTCACACCCCCCCGCCGCCTGGTTGGCCTGGCGAGCCAGGCTGAGGGCGACCGGAGAACAATCCGCGGCACGAAAGGATGTGGCGCGGAAAAGAACTATACTAAGTGGGGCAACGGGCGACGCTGCGGGGAGTGGTGGGACTCTGATGCATGAATTGTGAGAGAACCCCTCCTTGCAGAGGACCCAAGAGACACAGACTATGACGCCCCAAGTTTCTTCACGCCCCGTCATGGGCCGGATGGGCAGCATGTTTTCTTTGCCCATACCGTGGATGGTTTTGAATGCGATCAGTGGCGAAGGTTGTGAATTTTTGGTCCGTATCGTTGCGCAAGCAAACGTCGTGCATTGGATCGTTGCGCAAGGATATATGTCCTCTTTCATCACATGGGTAGGTTTTGCTACCGAAGGATCCGCTGTGCCAGTGAGTGCTCTCGTCGTGCATTGCCTCGTCCGGTTTCACGCTGGTTTGGGTTCCCAGGAGTACGTGGCCCGCTTTGATGATGCGGTGCACAAGCTCCTGGCCGGGCAGCTCCAGAGGGTATACCTAGAGGGGACAAGAACGCCTAAGCACGGACAAAGGCGCCTTTACCCATCAATTTCTGCCCAAGAAGAAGTTCTAGGTCACGACGTTTGGCATCTTTTGCTTTTCGGAAGTTCGAGGAGGAGATCTCCCTGCAATGGCAGGTTTTTTCTTGCACCTGCTCTCTGGATGGAGGACACGTCTGACCCTACAAGTCCAGTCTGACCCAGGAAAGGCTGCTTTACTTCATTGAGTAGTGTTTCTGCATGATCAACTTCAGTGAACTGAGCTTTTTGACTTGGTAAGCAACAAACTGCCAGCTGGGGTCCTCATGTCGCCCCATGATCCTTCGCGCAAAACACCGGTAGTCCTGGCGCCTGCCACAGGGCGCCGGCAAGTCTGAGAAGGAGCTCTCTGAGACCTTGGCGAAAGGCGCGCAGTGGGGGGAGAGGGCACAGTCGCCATGGCGCCCGTTGCGGGTTCGGCACACGGGTTCGGCCGTGGCATGGCGGGGGCGGCTGAAAGAGCATGCCAAGGTGAAGATGTTTTCGCTTTTGAGGCAAAGGGTTGAGTGGTTTGGCCTTCAGCTCAAGTGCTGCCGATGTGGTGCAAGTCGAATTTTGGCCAAGACTTTTTGGCATGATACAGGATGCTGTGCGCACAACGGTTGAGTCACTTCGGGGGTGGCCATGCTTCTTTGTTGCCGGGCAAGCGGGTACATTCCATCTTTATACCGAATCTACAGTCCACTGAAGGAATCATCCAACAAGGGGCTGAAGAACCCGTAAGAACCCAGAAGAACCCTGTAGTCCTCTGAGGAACGCCCGCTTCACCGGCTTAACCTCTCTTGTTTTTGAACGCCCCAAACACACCCCAGCGGAGGAGAACCGGTGCTCCACCGGCGCTTCCGGAAGCACCCGGAGCTCGGGTTTCGGCTTCTCCTCAGGCCTCGCGGAGACCCTGAGGCGCTTTCAGCAACTGGTGGCGCGGCTGCCGCCCGAGGCCCGGTGGTGCCGGGGGTGGTGCCGGGGGGGTGGTGGGGGAGGGTGAGAGAGGGTGGTGTGATGGCGGTGATGTGATGCCCCTTGAAAGAGTTTGAAAGCAGATGGTTGTCCGGGTTTTGTAGACTGAAAACCATTGGTTGTTTGGGAAAGACAAGTGACAAGATCATAAAATTCGATGGTTTGTTGGAATTTGAGGGGAGGGATAGCTGCTGGCCCCTCAATCGCGCTGCTCCAGCGATTTGATCAAAAGAGATAGACCAGCACCCTCTAACAGCTCACCACCTGCGACCTTTTTTAAGTCTGCAAAAGCCACAGAGGAGACCTGTTGGAGGGTGCTGGGACGGATACATAGACGGATAGACCAATATGCCAATAAGACTTGAACAGGTCTGAGGAGATGGGGTTCCAGCAGCCAATACGGACGGTGATGATTGGTGACCAACGTCTCTCTGCCTTGAAATCTTGAGGCGCGTAACGCCTCAAAAGAGTAGATCAATTGTCATTCAAATTCTGTAACGCCGTAACTCTAGACTGGTAATGAAAGTTGTTTGCGAGTGGTAAATCGGGAAGATCAAATATGGAGCGGCCAAAAAAAACGCCTGGTAGCCAAAATGGTCTTTAGATGAACCGAAAGGTAATCACGAAGGCTAGCGTCAGCTAGCTGGGGTTACTCTTTCTTTAGCAAGTCATTGGCTGGGGCATGGAACGACCTACCCACCGAATGATTCATGCGTAGATCCCCCCGCCTCATTCAACTCCCCCCACGTTTGATTCCGCAATGCGTCAGCCAAGGCATTGGAGAGGACAATCCATGTAAGTCTTTTGATTGTAAGTCAAGAAGTCAACGCACCGAAACTAAACACCTTCCATCAAGAACACAGAGACCAGCGCTCTCCGATACCTATCGCCACATTCCCGTTTCCAAGCCATGCTAGCTTTTGTTCCCAACCCCCCTGGTGCCACGGCCACAGCCGAACGGGACGTCTTCGGCCGTTGAGAAAGCGCGCCCCAGGTGAGCTGGACGGAAGCCGACGTCACGTCGGCCATCCGAGAGCTGCAGATCGAGGAGGGGATGAGTGGACATGGAAGAGGGGAAGTGGAAGGCTGTTTCTGTTTGGGGGGGTGCTAGCTGGAGTGCGTTTTTCCGAAAAGAACGTGTTTGGTGTGCAAAACAAAGACCATCTCGTGACAGCCAGAGATGCGCCAAGCGCGTGGACAAACCGCTTGACCACCAGCAGTCCCATGTTTGGGTGGTTGAGTTCCAGGAACATCATAGCCATGGGATTCCAATGATGGAAGATCGTTTGATTCGTAGGCCATCGTCTTACTGAAGGCCTTTTACACTGCAAAGCCAGGCCCTGTCCCATGAGTTTTGGATAGGCTCCTGCCGTGATTTCGACCTCTTTGCCCAGCCTGGATCTGCCTTTGGACCGGCAGCACTGGGAGGATCAAGAGCTGGACGAGCCGCTGCAGCACTGGAGCGGCGAGGTCTCCGGCCTTTGCAGCGACGTGGAGCCGCTCGGCGGGAGAGTCCGGAGCGCCTCGCGGCCGGGGGCGTGAAGATTCGGCGGCGCCGGCGCGGCGTGGTAGAGAGTCGTCGGGTTGGGGATGGGGGAAGTGGGGACTTGGGAAACTGCAGCAGCCATGGTTCTTGGGATATCTGGAAGAAGAAGGGACTTGGCATATTATTGCAGGAGGTCAATTTTGCGGGGACTTCTGCAAGACCGGCCGGTTTCCGTGGTTTGTACCTGTTTACACTGACACAGGGCTCGTCAGGTAAGGTGAGTGCAGGGTTTTCTTGTCTGTGCAGGGCTTGTGCTGCTACAGCCTGGTGTCTTTCCTGACAGTACCCCCACACACTACTTACATGCTTTGGTCCCAAAACACTTTTTGAAACTCTTCCGACAGCTGCGCCTGAGTGCTCAGCAGCAGCCAAACACCACCACCTCGTGGGGGGGGCGCAGCCGTCGCACCGTTTGAGCCGAGCCCCACCTCTGTCTGAGCCGAGGAAGGAGGTCTGGCAACTCTCCAGCGAGTGGGGGGCCCGAGACCCGACTGGCACCGGGGAAGGCGGTGCAGCTTGAGCTTGAGCTGCGTGGAGGGAGCTGCGTGGAGGCCTGTTTTGTGCGTGAGTTTCTAGAATGGTCAGTATGGATGGCAGGAGGTGTTTTGCATTGGGAGGTGCTGGGGATTAACGTGGTATACAACAATTTTGACAACTTGTTCCATTCATGTGCGGGGTTTGGAAGGCCAGGCCTTTTCCTTTCCGGAAGGAAAGTAGTCTTCCAAGCATCCTTTCTCCCACTTGGCCAGGAACATAAAAACTTGATAAACATTTTCACCCTTTTGAGAAGCGTGGAAAGAAAGATCCAGGCTACCTGGCTGCTGTGCAGAACATGGCCATGCCTGGCCGGCACAGCCTGACATAGCTCCCAAACCTGCCCATTCCCCAGCCCAAGCAGATTGAGGCTCTTGGGGGTGGAGGCCTCCGAATTGGAGGACGAGCCCTCGGAGCCCTCGGAAGCGACGGGCAAGAGGCCACCACGTGCTCGGGCTGCGCGGGCTCCGGCGGGGGAAAAGGACGCGGGGCGGCCGAAGACCTAGACGTGTTCTTCTGTTTTTTTTTCAAAAGATGGCCTCCATGATACAAGTCTCCAATGTAGGCCCAAAACCCAAATGCAAGTTTGCCGCCAAAGCTGCTGCTAGCTGCTGCAAGCTGCCGCTTTGACTGCTACCAACAGTGGCTCCGGTGGGTGATCAGAACAAAGCCCCGAAGGAGCTCTCACGTCGGAAATGTCAGGGTCCAATTTACGGTCACTTAGCCTCTGCAGGAGTGGCTCCGGTCCTACCCATTCCTTTGCCCTCTCTTGGCACACTGGCCCAGGCCGCCGCCCGCGGCGGCGCGAATTCCCGCCACGGCGGTTCCAGTGGCTCCGCGGCTGCAGGATTTGGCCTCTGAGAGGCGCCAATTCCTTTGTGGTGCCGGGGGGCAGGGTGTCCATGGGTGAGTGGGGTAGGGAGGGCTCAGCAGAGGTGCATGGGATGGATGAAGAAGGATTCAGATCAGGTGCGGGGGTTGTCAGCGGTAGATGCTGAAGCTTGGTTTGAGTACGATTGGCGCCTTTTCAAACTGCCAGTCACCGAGCACTTCAGATGCAAAAGGAACAACCTCGGAACCCCAGTCCGAACCAGAAACAAATGCTTGTTCCAATGTGGCAATTTAGATCCTTTACTATCCTTTACATCCGAAATGGCTGGGGAAACATCCATTTCTTTCTGGTTGGGACTGGGGTTCCAGGACTCGCCATCAGAGTGAACGGCTCATCCAACCAAGCGGCATGGTCGGGAAGGTCCAGGCGCTTCGTGGAGGAGCTGGAATTCGTGCAGTGCCTGGCGAACCCCAACTACGTGCCAGGGGCACTCAGTGTGATTTTGATGTTGATGTCGCGTGGGGTTGCTGCTTAGTGCTTGGGAGAAGATGCGGCTGAATGATTTCGGGATGATCAAGGAAGGCGGCGAGCCATGGTCCATGTGACGGGCCGAATGGCTGCCAGAACTTTTTATGATTTTTGTGCGATATTTGAGGGGACACTGGAGGGTG